TATATATATATATATATATGGAAATGAATAGAAAATTAACAAAATCAGTGTAAAACCTACCACGGTAAGCCGAACGAGCTCTGCTAGCTCTTCGCCTCCAACAAGAGCGCCGTCATGAAGAGGTCCAAACTCTAACGCACTGACAGTCTCAACCCTCACACGATATGTCTTAAGGAGAAATTTGAAGTAATAAATAAGACATCGCAGTTTAACAATATAAGCATAGCACTAGTGATTTTCTTCTGAACAATATTTACTAATCCGGCTAGGTATATTTCAAATCTATTGGGAACTTTGCTGGATTGTCAGTTATTCTGACGAGCAAGGAACGCATAGATAATGGAATATTCGACACGTTATTACACCTTTTCATCTGCTCTTTCCAGTACGATCAACACATCTCCAAACTTCGTCGCCATTGTCTCCCGTCGATAGGGCTTGGAGTGCTCAGACCAAACGACATGAACCTAAACAATAACGCTTAACTATGCAACTGCTATCTAAACTGGTTAGTTTACTTCATCATTTCCGATATGTTTCCACTTCTGGGTTACGTCGCCAGATAGATAAGTGCTAACATGAAATATTAGCTCTGTATCTGGTGTAGCGTAGTAGGGCGCATTTGTGTCGTATGGTAATCCACCTGGATAACCTTCATGTCCTTTTCCAATGCATACCTATGAATTTTATATTTAAAGTTGCGTATTCTGGGGAAAATAGATTGAAGTTTACAGTTTGAATGCAGAGAAACACAGAAGTTAACAAAGCAAGCAAAGCATGGTCAATACAGAACGCGAATTACCGGCCAGCCCAATTCACTAACGAAACGCTCGAAGCTCGGTGAGGCCTTGGTGTTGGAGAGAATAGACTGCTTGTCTTCCTGACCGTCGGCTACATAAATCACTGCCACCTAAAATGAAAAGGAAGTTCGATTTGAGTCCAGAACAATGAGTTGCGATTTTATAAAATCATATGGCATTACGGGCGCTCTAACAAACCTTATGAACTTCTCTGGCGCAAATTTGATCGAGATGTTTGAGGTCTCTTGAGAAGTTCACTGGCACTTCGGCTACGTTTGGGACGAAGCCGAGACTTGCAGAGAACGATCGCCATTCATGCAGTCTACAAAAAAAA